TCTCTTGTAAATTAAAAAGTAATGCGTTACTTTACTAGTTACTTGAAAAAAGTAATCTGATTACGTAACTTGCGTTACTCGTAATATATTACCCCCAACACTGCTTATCTGTAGTACATCAGTATCCAAACACCGTCCGTAGCTGAAGTCGGCTGATAGCAAATGAATAATCCAACCTCTTATAATGAAAACACGCCACACTCTCAAACACCAGACTCTTCCTAACCAGCAACAATCAAAAATAGTCCAGACTACGGTCTCACGTCAAAAAGAACTTTAAATCCATATTCAAACTGGACCATGATGTGGTGTCCTCACCAATAAAGAGTCCTTCTAAAATACACTGTCTTAAACTCTTAGCATCAATCCAAACACATACATGTACCATCTCTGCGAAAAACATCAGCAATGTACACTTTTAAATAGAAAGAAAACCTCGTTTAGACTGGGCTTGAAATGACACATTTCCCAACCAGGACACAGCACAATGTGTATGGCTTTACTTAAGGAAACCTAAAACACTCTAGCACCCCTAGTGGTAAGGAAGAAAACTGCCCACACAATTCTTATTAAAGGGGTCGTGTCTGGCCCACACTGGGCCATCACTGGATTAATGTGGGCTGCTCACAGAGAGCCTGCGGTGAGCCCAAACCTGTGGACCTGTTTAGGTTTGGTGTGGGCTGGCCCTAGCCCACGGTGCCCGCAATAAGCCAGCATTGGCCCCGCAAGGACATGTTTGTATTGTGCAGAGCCAGTGGTGGTTTTGTAGGCAAACATTAATGCCTTGAATTTAATGCGAGCAGCTACTGGTAGCCAGTGCAAATTGGTGAACAGAGGTGTGACGTGCATTCTTTTTCGGCTCATTAAAGATTAATCTTGCAGCGGCATTTTGGATTAATTGTAGAGGTTTGCTAGAAGTGGCTGGAAGACCTGCCAAGAGAGCATATATACCTGGAATATATATTTCTTGCTGGATGACGGACCATCACCTTCAACTCAACTTCAACTATATTTATATATATATATATATATATTAATTACATAAAAATAAAAGGATTAAATAAAATCAGATCACCTGAAAAATAAAAATATAAAACAGTAGCGAACTTGGTACGAATAGTTTAACACAGTAAAATCTATTTCTTTCAGTCCGGCGTCCCACTTTAAGAACGTGATGTAAAATATAAATAGCTCACGATAAGACTCTTGCACCTAATAAAGTTTCTCAGATTTCTCTCTCAGACTCAGAGCGCAGCATGACGGAAGAGCGACGTGATGACGTAGCGCGGGACGCGTCATCAGCGTGAGACGCTGCCACGCGACAGCTGTTATGATTACTACATGCCACATAATGGTGCTTTTAATATTTCAGTGGAATGCGAGAAGCTTAATAGCTAATGGGCAAGAATTAAAAAAAATCATTTCTGATTTGGAAAATAAACCTGATATAATATGTGTTCAAGAATCATGGCTCAAACCTCAGTTGAATTTTGTTTTACAAGGATATGTGGTTATTCGGAAAGACAGGAAACAAGGTAATGGAGGTGGGGTAGCTACATTTATAAAACAAGGTGTGGGATATAGGAATGTTGACGTGAGTGTGGACCAAGAGGTGGCATAAAACACCAGAAGAAGAAGAAGAAGAAGAAGAAGAAGAAGATTACTACATGCCTCCACATGACAAGTTTGAGTTCTGATTCTGATGGCCTCGCAGCGCGTGTTTGTGACCGGCGATGGTGTTGAGGAGAGTTTGTGAGCTCGTGATGCAGGATGAGTGATTACTCTCTTCAGCAGGAGAATGAGCTCGAGGCGCTGTCATCGATATACGGAGACGACTTCAGAGACATCCGAGCAGAGCTTCCCTGGAAGGTATTCCGCTGCACAAGTGTGTATGTGTCGCTCAGTAACATTGCATGCAGTTCAGTGGGTAGTATTCAAGCGTGATTTAGTTATTTATTTCACTTTCTGCACTCCTACCTGCCTGAAGTGCTTATATATACACACACTGTATACATGTGGGCGTGTCAAATGTTAATTAGCTCTATATGTATCACACACACACATATACAGTTGTGCTCATAAGTTTACACACCCGGCTCTTAATGCATTGTGTGGCCTTCAGGGGCAGCAGTAAATGTTTTCACCTTTTGTAATAGTTGTGTATGAGTCCCTCAGTTGCCCACAGTGTGAAAAGATGGATCTCAAAATCATAGTCACTTTTGGAAAGGGTTCAGATACCAAACAAGGGACTCATGAACAACTGTCACCAAACATAAAAACAGTCGTGGATCATCCAGGAAACAACACACAGTATTAAAATTTTGAATGAGGTTACAAAAAATAAAGAACTTTTCCACGATATTCAAATATTTTGAGATGCACCTCAACCCTCTACGCACACCTTGGCAATATAATCGTCATTGGCTAGTACATTTTTTTGTTTACTCGCCAGACTGATATACTATTTTACACACACACACACACACACACGTTTACTTAGCTATTTAGTCGCATATGCGAGTGATTTACTCACAATGTAGAGGGTTGCACCTGTATATATACAATTTTAAATAATTAGTTTTTCTATTCAGTTCACTTATAATATTTCTCCTTGCACAAACAGGCATAATGTAGTTGTTAATTTCAATTTCTACTATTATGTTTATGTGGGCGTGTCATATGTTAATTTAATAATTAAATAATAATTTAATAACAATAATAATTTAATAATTTATGCATTTAGCAGACACTTTTATCCAAAGCGACTTACAGTGCAT